ACAATTTATGAATAAAAATTTGGTATAGATTTTTCGTTTCTGGTGTATTCGTCGATGGTGTTATCAAATACAAGTCTTCGTTTCTATAATTGCGCATAATACATGGACACAATCTTCGTATTAATTATTCAGTTCTCATGCCTTCGTCGATCAAGCAATCAGCTGCTAATAGTTGCGTCCCATTTAGGACAATATATGAACAGAATCCTACTGCTACTAATTCATCTCTCGCGTCTTGGTTCATCATGTAGTAAACTCTAATATTTGCGTAACAATGAGAAAAATATTCGAATAGAATCGTTGTTTAAAGAATTCATTTGTCATGTGTTGGCCGATCTTGACATCAAATTCAAGTCTTTGTTTCGAATTGAGCAGAATATTTGCATAAAATCTTGGTATGATTTATTCATTTGTGACCGAATTCGTGGAGCATGTGATCAACTCTGAATCTTCGCTTCGAGCGAAACACAATATTTGAATACAAAATTTGTATCAACTATTCATTTGTTGCGTTTTGTTTGATCATATAGTCAGCGCTTAATATTTAGTTTTGAACTCAGGAGAATATTTTAAAAGAATCTTAGTCTGAATTGTTTGCTCATTGTATAGTCATCTATATTTGGAATTAAATCAAAGTCTTAACCTACAATTGAGAAAAATATTTAAATACAATCTTGTTTATAATTCCATTACCGTGCTTTCGTTTTTCATGTAAAAAAAGTCAAAACTGTGCTTACACTTAAGTTAAGTATTTGAATAAAATCTTCATATATTTTATTCATTTTTCATTTGTTTCTGGATAATATGAACAGTTGCAAACGTTTGCTGCGAATCGAACAAAATATATGGATAGAAGGTTTATATAAAGTTTTCATTTGTCATACAACAGTCGATTATGTAAACAACTCGAGATTTTTACCTGCAAATGAACTTAATATTTGAATAGAATCTTTCTATGAATAATTCTTTTGTCGTGTGTTCTTCGATCTTACAATAAACTGCATAGCTTTGCTTCCAACTGAACAAATCATTTGAAAAGATTTTTGTAATAAATTATTCGCTTGAATGTGGACGGTATTCTTAAAATGAAGTCTTAACGTTTCCTCTGAAGTCATCAAAATATTTGAATGAAGCTTGGTTGTAATTACTCATTTCTCATATGTTCCTCGATCATATATTCAAATTCATATCTTTGCTTTCAATGGAGCAAAATATTTGAAAAGAATTTTGTTATGAATAATCCATTCGCCATGTGTTTGCCAATTATATGATAAATCCTTAACGGCTTTTTTCGAATTGAGTGAAATATATGATAAAAATCTTGATATGAGTTCTGCATTCATCTTGTGATAACTGATTATTTAAATAAAATCAAGCCTTCCTTTCAATGAATGACAATATTTGAATAAAATCTTCCTATCAGTTTTTCGTTTAATGTGTAGTCGACTATCATGTGAGTTATTCGAAACTTTCGCTTGTAACTTTACGAAATATTTCAATAGACTCATAATATGAAGTATTTGTTTATCGTATGTCCGTTGTTCATTTAATAGGATGAAAAACTTTCTTATCCAGTTCACAAAATGTTTAAATAAAATCTTGATAGGAACTATCTGTCTATCGAAAGTTCATCGATCACGTATTCAATCGCAAATATTTTCTTTAAATTGAGAACAATATAGGAACAGAATCTTGGTATTAATTAGTCATTTTTCGTGCGCTAGTAAATCATGTTGTCAACTTCAATTTTTTTCTTCTAATTGAATACAATTCATGAATAGAATCTTCGTATTAATTGTTCCACTCTCATGTGTTCGCCAGTTCCACAATCAACTACAAGCTCTTGCTTCACATGAAGCGAAATATTTGAATAGATTGTTGTTATGATTCATTCATTTTCTGTCTGGTCGTCTATCATGCAACCAACTACAAATCTTCCCTTCCACTAGACCAAAATATTTTAATAGAAGACTGTCATCTACTATTCATTCTTTTTGTGTTTGTCGTTCATTTAACGGCGTCTAAATTTTTCTTTGATCTTAACAAAATATGAGAATAGCATGTACTATGAGTTATTTGTTTATCAAGTATTCGTTTCTTGTGTAATTAAGACCAGATCTTCGATTCGAATTCAGCATAATTTATTAATATAATCTTGATATGAATTAATCATTTGTCTTGTGTTAATCAATCATGTAATCAACTCAAAACTTGTGTCTTTAATAGAGCAAAATATTTGAAAAGTATCGTATTGTATATAATTCATTTGTTATGCATTCGCCCATTATGTAAACAACTTTGAATTTTTGCTTCAAATACAGGATAATATTTTAACAGAATCTTTGTATGAATTACTCATTTTTTATGCGTTCACCAATGCTGCAATCAACTCGAATTTTTTCGCTTCGATTTTAGCAAAATATCTAAATTGACTCATAATATAAACTATTCTTGTGTTGTGTGTCCTTAGATCATTTAAGCAACATGAATTCTTTGGTTGGAAGTGAGAAAAATATGCGAATGGCTTCATGGTACGAATCATTCGTTTTGCAATGTATAGATCGATCATGTAATCAACACTATATCTTTGCTTGGAATTGAGTACTATAGTTTAATAGAATCATCGTTTGAATTATTCCTGTGACACGTGTTTGTGAATGGTAAAATGAGCATCATATCTGCACTTGGAATGCAGTAAAATATTCGAAAAGTATAATGATATCAATCGTTCATTTATCGCGTGTTTGTCGATCATTTGATCAAATTTAAGTTTTGTTTTCTATGTACGCAAAGCTTTTGAATAATATATTCGTCTAAATTATTCACTCGCTGTTTTTACTCTGTCGGTGTAACGACTTGAAAACTTGGTTTAGAGTTGAGCAAAATAGATGATTAATATTTTTCTTTGGATTGTTCATGAATTCTATGTTCATCGATTATAATATTGACTGAAAACCTTTGTTTTCAAGTAAGAAGAATATATGAAAAGAATCTTAGTATGAAAGTTTCATTTGTCATGTGTTCGTAGATGATAAAATGAACATCAAATCTATAGTTGAACTGCAGCAAAATATTTGAAAAGAATATTGATATTAATTGTTCATTTATCGTGTATTTGTTGATTATTTGATCAAATTTAATTTTTGTCTTCCATTTGAGCAAAGTTTTTGAATAATATTTTGGTCTGAATTATTCACTTGCCGTTTTTTCATTGTCTATGTAACGGAGTGAAAACTTTGCTTGAATTTGAACAAAATATGTGATTAATATTTTACTTTGGATTGTTGATGAATTCTATGTTCGCTGATTATAATATCAATTGACGATCTTTGCTTCCAAGTAAGAAAAATATATGAAAATAATTTTAGTATGAATCATTCATTTGTCTTCTGTGTGTTGTTCCTACAATATAGTCAAAGCAGTTCTTTCACTATAGTAAAGTGTTTGAATGACATCGTAGTATGAAGTTTGCATTTATCGTATGTTCGCTGATAATGTCGTCCACTACATATTATTACTTACAAAAGAGCAGAATATAGGAATGTAACTATCCTAATAATTATTCATTTACCGTGTTTTTATCGGTCATACTATCG